CTACAGGAAGTGCAGTGACCTGGAGCACTTGTGATCCCTTGTTTCACGATAGCAGGATGTGCTCTATCAAAGGGCATGCGGAGTGAGTAGTTGAAGCTCTGATTTTGAGCTTTTTTTTTTAATGAGAAGTCGTGTGTAACAAGGGACACATGGTATTGACTAAGTGTCCAAAGCTGTGAAGGTTTTCTGTGGGCATTCTACGCTTTGCTGTCATGTATTCGCAATGAAATGCAATTGTTCTGTGTGGATACAAGTGTATAGTAATTGGGGTTTCTGTCCCACAGTTTTCTTCACGGGACATCTTTGATGCCCTTCAGTTTTGATGTACTTACAACGCATCTCTTGCTCTGTATCTTGACTATCATTTGCTGATATACAGTGGTTTGGGCAACGCATCGTGCATTCGTTGGTGAGCACACGTTGCCCGTTTGACAGAGGATTTGATGAAAAGGTGATGTTTCTGACATTTGCCTCATCGCACTCAGAGCTTCGGTCCAACTTTACATGATTTTTGCCGATTTAGAATCGACTGCTACAGTATGATGCGGATTTCAAAAGCGGTAAGGAGCTTAGTGAACAGCAAAACGAAGCACGTTATTGCATCGGCGAGGTGGAAACTCAGCTGGATTTTTTCAATGAATTGGGCAAAATGTTATCAGTGCTGCAAAAGGAGTACCATCGCAGTCTTAAGCGGAAGGAGGAGAATGTGAAGAAAGATGTAAGCACTTTATACATATGTAGCGTCGTAAATGTTCCTTGTTCTTAATACAGTTTTTCTAAAGCGGAAGCAGCTTCCGATGCACTAGCCTTCAGTCGGCCATTCACTCTCAGTTGCTCGATTCCTTCATTTCTTTAACATTGTAGTAGTAAAGTGAAAAATACAGTAAGTACAGCAACTGTAGCAACGAACATTCAAAATGGAAGCGATTGTTGAATTACAGCGCCTCAAAGCAGGCAACAAACGAACTGTGTGGCCTTTTTGAGGTGTTGTTGTCATTTTAGCAAGCAGAAGACGAGCGGAAGCTCCTACTTGATTTTATCAATTATCGATATGTTGTGGAGCAGTTTGATCGAGAAGATGTCAAGAAGGCCTTCATCGATGGCTCTGACGATACTGTGGTTAATTCAGCTGCTTCTTTTTTTCAACTTTCATCCATGCGCCGTCTTTGTTCGGAGCAGTCTTGTGAAGCGAAATTATTTGCAGAAAATCAGTGAGGAAGAGTATCAAATGATTGAGGATTTGTCGCACTTCTTTGGCTTGAAGATGAGCATTTCCGATGGCTTCTTGAAGTACCGCGAGAAATGTGAAAAAAATGTGAAGTCTGCGCATAAAGTCCTCACTGGCAGCAAAGAGAAACTTGTAGGCAGATTCTCAGGTACCAGACCAATTCAGCGTTTTCCTGTGTCTAATTGTTTTCATTTCCGCTTCATTCCGTTATGCATTAGTCAGAATAAGTGGCGGTGCGCACTGGAGTTGTTGGTGTGATCATGCGTTTTCACTTGGTTCCCTGCAGCCATAAGATAGTTGACACTGAAGATGTTTACTGTTAAACAGTTTGGTACGCGCAACCATGTCGGAAATACACTTGTTCAGCTTTTCTCTGCACGTTAGAAAAGCTAGAAGTGTTGCGCTCTAGGGTCTCGTTAAACTTTAGCTATCTGGCGTGTCCGATTACCCATAGTTTTGCAAATGGAATTTAGACGTGTTCGAACGCTAGGCTCGTAAAAGCTTGTTCTTACAGGCCAATATGGACGGTGGCCTCTTTGTAAAATTGCGGTTCTTCTTTCAGTTGATTTCCGAGTTAAAAGAGTGCCAGCAGTGCCTCATTTAAACTTTCATTTGCGCGTGCGCGAACCATAGGCGTGCAGCAAGTTGAGTCCAAATTCTTTGGATGACCCATAAACAGGGAGCGTCTTCGTAAAATTTCAGCTTTCGTACTTGACTTTTTCTAGAAATTGCTTCCCGGTGGGCAGAGAACGTCTTCGCAAATTTTCAACTTCCTGCTTTGTCTGGTCCCGGAATCGTTTAGTGGGAACGCTCTTTACTCTCTAATTTCACATTTTGTGCGTGAGACGTCTCGCATTTTTGGGGCTGCATATAAGCTGGAAACCTCTTAGTAAATTTTTAGCACATTAATTCGTCCGGTTACTGACTTAAAAATGAGGGGCAAAACAGGATCACACACACACACACACACACACACAGTTTCTCGACAGTACGCTTTGTTGCATTTCTCAGTGATGCAAAAG